TATATATATATATCTCATTTAAAACTGTAACCACTTCTCAGTATATAGCATTCCTTTATAGGTTTTCTTTTGTTCTTTTCATTGATTGATTTTGCCATATCAAATGGTCAAAACGATCAACATGCTTAAGCAGAATATCTAGAATTCCATTCATGCATGGTCCATCTGCAAAATATTCCCAGATCTTAATGCGTGACATATATTTTCATGTCCTAACCATTTTATGATAATAATTCCTGATATTTACCCCTCAACCAAGCCATCTTTAATATGGAGATTATAAGTTGCAGAAGCCAAAACAATATTATGGCAGCGCCATAATATGTTTCACAAAATTTTCTCTAATATGAACATTGCACTTCTTTGAATAATAATGCTGTTTGTTTGGAATGGCGGATATATATTAGCCTAAAATCTAAATTAAAAGCCCTTTTGTCTTTAATGGAAATACACTAATTCATCAGGATGCAGATCCGATAGTAGATTCTTGTGCCAAATGCACTGCACTAAACAATGTAGATTAATCATATTATTTAAATGAATCTGAATAACAATGTATTGTTTAACAGCAGCTCACCAGTGATTTTAAATTAACAAACCTTCTGGTTAGAGTTGGCGGCTAACTTTGACAATGAAGATGCATTTATATGGCTTAGCCTGGCTCAAAAATCCTTGCCATATTTTTGTTCTGTCATGCAGCATAATTAGGTTCACATCGTTGTCCTTGAACATTAATGAGTAAACATGCTGCATTCAAACTGTCACTTATGCTTTACGAAATGCTTTTTGTTAGCTTACTTAAGCCTTCATTAACCACATTTAAGTGCAAATCAATTATGTTTTTCATGAAAGCTCCCCTCTCTTAATCTTTGATTAGTGTGCTGCATAAGCATAATTGCAGAAAAATGAACTGGCACAACAAACTAACGGCTGCTATAATAATCATAACAATGGAAATTTATGGTTCGGGACAGAGTCATAAATATGGAATTTTGTCCCTCTCTTCTTGATTTATGTTGGTGAATAATGGTAGAAATACTTGACATCTTACATGTTTTGCAAGTCATTTCCAGGGACCTACTGTTATCGTTATCGATGAGGTGTTGCTAACTGACCCCAGAACTTTCATCCTTAATTGAATGATTCATACATACAGCTAGGTCCTCACCTATAATTCAATTCTATCCACGGTGCAGTGCAAATAGAAATCAAGAGCACATGGAAAATAATCAATCTTGTGGGCTTAAGGGGTTGCATGTCTGCTTTGAAACCAAAAAAAGGCTGAAGACACCAAATCAAAGAGCCTGCCAAAATTTCCCTATTGTTTGTTTGGTAAGGATGTGGCCATTATGTCTTGATTCAGGTTTTTTTTTTTCCACATGAATTGTGAACAAAAATGTTTCATTCTTTCTCCTTGACTAATTAAGTCCATAATTCTTGCTGCATCTGCACTTAGTCTCCAATTTGTATTGTTTGATTCTAGTCCCCCTCAAAACACGTTAGGTCCCTAAAGTTTGGGTTGATTTCAACTTATTTATCAATACTGTTTGATCAACAAAAATTTGATCAGTCATTTTAGAACCTCCACAACACTCAGGAGTTGCAATCAGTAAAAGAAATTCCAGTATATTTTTTATGAATGGAGTAACTGTTTCTTGTTTAAAGTGAGTTTGAGTGTCGGATGTGTAAGCGATAGAGCTTTTGAGAAATGTATTGGCTAGAAAAGCATTTTGGAAGAAAAGATAATGGAGGCACTTTGAGGTATTCAAAATGAATTCCATATGCTTGGAAAACAAACTGAATTTTCTCTGTTCATTGAAAGAAACAATTCAGAAAAAAAAAGGCTATGGCTACCTACCTTGTCTAAGTTTAGATTGATCCCAAGAGTTTACTGGTAAGGCGGCGCAACCCGGATTAAAACCAACAACTTACTCGTTAAGAAAGAAAAACAAAATTAAAGCATGAATGCATGATTGTTACAGTAAATTATTAGGATTCCTACAACTGCATGTATTCATGTTTCCATAGGTAGACATGAGAATTTACGCAGCAATCAAGTATACGTGGTTATATCACCTATCAGGGTATCTAACAAAAGCAAAAGGTCGCATTCATGCTGCTACTGTTATTGCTATGATCAATTGACCATCATTTTCATCTGCCATAACCAAAACGAAATTTGTTTAATTCATTGGTGTAAATCTATTATTCTTATTCTTTCTTAGTATTTATTCATATGTAGCTCATTCAACATACAAAATCAAAGGGAAAGAACCATATCAAAAGATAAATCAAATCACCTAATCTCAACTTAAGTAATTAAAGAAAAGAAAAGCTCATCAAATACAATTATATATATATATATATATGTAGTTGGACCAAAAAACATGACATGCATAACGTATTGCAGACAGGGCATGAGTGATATGGGATGATCGTAACTATACGTAATCTGTTCTTAAATTAATAACGTGGAAGTAGTAAGAATGTTTCAGCAGAGAATTTTGGGATGGAATATTGAGGAACAAGTAGAATCCCCTTTTGGGGGGGAGGTGGGTGCATGTGGATTGCTCATCAAAGGTTTAGTAATTTGGTGAACACTGTAGCTATGGTGCGGGGCAAATGGGACCCATATATATATATAAATATATGCATGCAAGTAGATATCACCTCTGAGTACATGATTAATATATCTGTATGCATTTTGGCAAAACAAAACCAAATGGAAAATACATTAAAGTGGATGGCACTTATTGTCTGATATCATATTTGAATGTTATACATATAAAATAATAATTATTTTTTACTTTTAAAATATTTAATTTATTTACAAATTATGTTGCACACCCAATGATCATTACCAGTGCCTTGATCCTCTTCAAAGGACACACAGCTTGAAAATCTGTTGGTGGGATGAGGGAACTAAATATCTAATATCTTGTGCCAACCACATTGCCACGTGGGCCTATCTAAATGATGGACTTTGCTCGGAGCATTCTTGTTCTTGTTTGTGCTCCTAGTCAAACATAACGGCGGTGAGGGATTTCTTCTTTCTTTTACTATTACACAAATATTCTCCCACAATTACACCATACATTTCACAAAAAATATTATTTTTATGTTAAATGCAATCCTTCCTAATTATGATCATAAATTGTGATTGGTCAAACTATACACAGAGTCTTTGTAGTATAAAGTTTTTTTCATTTTATTCCCTTTACTTAAAACTAATTAATTTAATTTATATATTTTGACATATTGTGCAATTAGATCCCCCTGCCTAATGCCATTCATTAACCTATAAGTTGAAGGATCCCAACATTGGACGCTTTGGCCTATTGTGACCTTCTTGACGGCAAACACTACATTTCATCTTCCAATCCTCGACATGTTTGTCTTTTTTTGACCTTCACATGATTCTCTTCTATTATCCATCTGGATCTTTTAACAGATCTCTTCACATATGAAGGTAATGTAACTTCCACATTCCTTTTAGGCTAAAACATTGAGCCTTTAACAAGATGGAGCATCCACTCATAAACCTTCAAGTATTCACTTCTCTTATAACAATTAGCCTAATAACTTGTTGGATCCTCTTCTTCATAAATGATAGGTTTTATCACATGTTGGCATGGTAGTCATACTATATGTAAAAATTACAAACAATGCTACAACATTTCATATTGTAGGTAAAAATTGCATTCAACAGCGGTGTTTCAAAATTTTCATACACTTTATACACTATTTCAACTTATAGTAAGGATTAACATTCCTATATGTAATGTGACATAAATAATGGTAAAAGTATTTACGAAATCTATATATTATAGAGCTTTGTTCAATTTAATCCCTGTATTATAGCATTTTGTTTAATTTAGTCTTTATACTATAATGATTTGTTTATTTCAATCTTTATGACGTGGCACTAAAAAACTAATGTGAAGAAAAAAATTTTTGTCAAAATTTTTTTTAACATGTCAATATTACGTCAATATTATTTAACATATCAACATCACATCAGTAACATAAACAGTTAATTTAGAAGACATCAGGTAAGAGGGCCCAATTGCATAAAATGTCAAAATACGTTAATTGAATTGACTAGTTTTTGGATAAAGTGACTAATTTGAAGAAAAGCCATAATACAAGGACTTCTTAGATAGTTTGACCAATTTTAATTGTATTGATTGAAAATAAAATATTATTTTTTTGTTTCAAATTGAATATTAATTTTTGAAAAATCAAAAAATTTTAACAATGAGTTATTTTGTTTTTTATTTTACAAATATAGATATTTAATTTGAAACAAAAAATATTACTTAATGTGATCATTTTAAATGTAGTAATAAAAACACTTGGTGATACATCCTAAATGAAAATTCTTTTAATAAAAAACATTACTGAAATTGTTAAAACCAATATAATGTGAATGAACATGATACAAAAACAATGATTAACCCTAATCAAGGAAGCACAGAATTTGCAATGAAAATAAGACGTATTAATTACTACTATCATTAATTCAAGCCTGGATCTAATCCCATCACTCTTTCTTTTCCTATTTTTTTTGTATTTATTTTATTGATTGATCATTTAATTATCCATTCAGTTGCATTGAATTG